CATGCTTCCTGTGGGAGGGCCGTCCCCCTGCCCCTCCCCCTGCCCCACCCCATGCTTCCTGTGGGAGGGCACTCCCCCTCCCTCCCTGATACAGTCTGGCAGGGGTCTGGATACTGGGAAGCCAGGGACTTCAAGAGCTACCATTGGGTAATGACAGAGCACGAGTGTAGAACACGGATGGGGAGAGTCTTTTTCCTTATCAAAAGGAATGCTGCCTCAGTGGTGAATTTGAGGCACCAGGACAGCTTCTAGTGGGGTGGAGGGGTCTCCTGAGAGTCTCTGAACACCACTGAGCTATAGATGTGTGGACTGAGCCAGTCCCAGTGCCCAGCCTGGGGTACAAGTGGGGAAACTGACCAGCGAGGACTAAGGACTTGGCCTCTCATCCCTGTCTTTTCTGCCTTTCAGTGGTGGGGATGGACTTCAGGGTGTAGCCAAGTGGTGGGTGGGTGGTGAGGGTGAGGCCTGGGAGCTCCCCGTGTCCCCACAGTTCCCCTCCCTCTGTCCAAGCCCCCCTCACCACATGAGGATGGGAGTGCTCAGAGGGGTCTGGTGTCAGGGTCTATATGAAACTCCAGACGGACCCCCTTCCTCGCCTGTGAAATGAGGGCCTCAGGCCAGCCCAGGGCCCAGCCTTTGATTATTTACTCATCAGGAAGATGCTGTCTCCTACACAAGTTGAGTTGATTCATTCCTGGCCAAATGCCATTCCAGGTGAGGCTGGGGAGGTGGAAAGAGTTGAGCACCTGCCTCCTCTGCTTCCTACTTGGGCGAGAACTTAGATCCCCCAGCCTCAGGTAACTCATCTGAAAACAGGGCATGAAAGAACCCACCGCCCCGGGAAGACTCAGCGAGACGGTGCGTGGAGAATGTTGTGTGTGCAGGCACGGATCAGGCCAGTGACTCCGCGTTCATCACCGGCTCTCACGCCACTCTGTGCAGGCACAAGTCGAGGGGTTTATGGTGCTGGCTCCTCCAGCCTCAATAAAGCCTGGGTTCAGTGAGGAGGCAGGTGCCTGTACGGCCTTCATAGACCCATGAGACAGGCAAGACACAGAGAGACGAAGTAATAGGCACACAGTCACCCAGCTCGCTGGGGCAGTTAAGGCCAGGCAGGCTGATCCAGAGTGCACGTGGGCGCGGGCGTGGGTGCCCCTCGTGTGTGTGCGTCCATGCATGTCTGTGCATGTGTACGATTCTTCCCTCTGAGACTGCAGCGGCCCATGCCAGCTGGTGACTCCTGCAGCCAAGGCTTCCCCAGCCAACCCCCTGGCATCTGGGTGAGGGAGAGTTGACCGTTCCATGTCTGTCCCATCAGTTCTAGAGCGGCCTGGGAAGTCCCAGCCCTTTCTTCTCAGATGTTCGTTCAGGGTCCAGGGTCCCCAGGGCAGACTCTCACTGCTGACTCTCGCTGTGTGTGAATGTGGAGGGGAAGGCAGGGTGGTATCTGTGAGCCATCCACACTGGGCCATCTCGCTCTTGACTTACGACCACAGGTGATAGTGATGGGTCCCATTTAGATAATGGGATATTCTTAGAATGAGCCTTTGTTGGAAATCTGCTTGTGTGGGTGGCAGAGACTTGACAGGTCTGGGGAAGAGCAGATTTTCAGACAAGGCCTTGCAGGAACAGGGAGGTATAGCCCTTTGGCCCAGAATGGCCACTGATGCAGAGGGCGGGTCAGGGGAGAACGTGCCAGTGTAGTGATGAGGAAAGTCTGGTCTGGACCCTCCACGGGCTGAGCACCCTGTGGCTCCTCACCTGACCCCTCTGAGCCCGTGGTGCCGCCTCCACCCCCCTGACCTGCCTGCTTTCTTTTTATTATTTTTTAAAATTTATTTTTATTTTTTCAAAGATGGGGTTTCACCATATTGGTCAGGCTGGTCTCGAACTCCTGACCTCAGGAGATCCACCCACCTCAGCCTCCCAAAGTGCTGGGATTACAGGCGTGAGCCACTGTGCCCAGCTAGACCTGCCTGCTTTCTACCTAGCTTCTCCCAGTGCCCACATGAGCCCGGCTGAGGCCTCGTGCCCTTGAGTGGCCTTAGGGTGGTGGAGGGACTGGCCCGGGAGATCTGGCCGCAGCTGCTCAGTTTCGCAGAAGCCACTCTCATGGGGCGCCACCGCAGCACAGGCTTCCCCCTTTCTGGGAACTTGGCTCCTGCCAGCTTCCTCTCCTGTGTCATCATTTCCCTTATGATCCCCCCACCACGTCCACTCACTCCCAGCCAGTGGGGACAGGCAGAACTGTGGGTTCCCTAGGCCAGCTGGAGCCATCCCCCCAACCTGGCCTGGCCTGGCTAGGGGGTGGCCCTGGTATTCTCCGGAGCCCTGGTGGCCAGCACTGTTGGCAGCCACAGGGGCTCAGTGGGAACTTCAGAGCACCTGACCTTGGCTGGGCTGCCCTCCATGAGCTCACAGCCTGACGTCAGCAAGCGCTTCAAAGAAGTCATTTCCTAAGCATGCCTTAACCCATGCGGCAAGGGAGATACGATCGCCCGTTTTACAAATGTGAAAAGTCAAGCTTGCTGAGGGTGACCCGAGGTCACACAGCTTGGGGCAAAGCCAGGCTGAGGATTCAGCTCTGCAGCCCAGGTCCCGAGAGGTGCTGCTGTCTTTCTCTCCAGCACTTGCCTTCTGTGACCCTCCTTCCCCTTTAACCCATCTGTAGGTAAGGGCACGGGGGCTGCATTCATCCACCCATGCGCCCTTCCTTCCTTCCTCCCTTCCTTCCTTCTTCCTTCCTGTGTTCTCCTCCACCCCCCACCCTCCCCTCCATCCACCCATCCATGCATTTATCCCTCCAGGAAGTACTTCCTGGCAGGGTCCCTGCCAGCCTCCTGGATGAGGCCAGAAGGAAATAGTTCCCATCTCCAGAGAGGTGAGGAAGCAAGGCAGTCCACACAGTGCAAAAATGTGCCTTCTGACGCTCGGTACTTTGCAGCTGAGGTGAACTGGCAGGCATTGCGGCTGTCAACCTTCTGGTGCTTCTTGCAGAGGGCTTCAGGGGAGCACTAGATGGACGGGGCGGGGGGGCACTGGAGAGCCAGAGAATGGGAGCCCTCCCCCAGGAAGCTCCATAGTAGAAACCTAGAACTCAGATGGGCCAAGGGGCCAGGCCAGGGCTAGTCTATGACACGGGGTATGGCCACCAAATCCCTGCCTATTTAGTTCCAGTGATGTTTTTGGGTCCGCCCCGTCCCCTCCCCCGCCCCCTCCCCCACTCCTCCTCCTCCTTTTCCTTCTTTTTCTCCTTTTCCTTCTTTTTCTCCTCCTCCTCCTCTTCCTCCTCCTCCTTCTCTTCCTCCTCCTCCTTCTCTTCCTCCTCCTTCTCTTCCTCTCCTCCTTTCCTTCTCTTCTCTTCCTTTTCCTCCTCCTCCTTCTCTTCTCCTTCTCCTCCTCTTCCTTTTTCTTCTCCTTCTCATCCTCCTCCTCCTCCTTCTCTTCCTTTTCCTTCTCTTCTCCTTCTCCTCCTTCTCTTCCTCCTCGTCCTCCTTCTCATCCTCCTCTTCCTCCTTCTCATCCTCCTCCTCCTCCTTCTCATCCTCCTCTTCCTCCTCCTCCTCCTTCTCATCTTCCTCCTCCTCCTTCTCTTCCTTTTCCTTCTCCTCTCCTTCTCCTCCTTCTCTTCCTCCTCCTCCTTCTCATCCTCCTCTTCCTCCTTCTCATCCTCCTCCTCCTCCTTCTCATCCTCCTCCTCCTCCTCTTCCTTTTCCTTCTCCTCTCCTTCTCCTCCTTCTCTTCCTCCTCCTCCTCCTCCTCCTCTTCCTTTTCCTTCTCCTCTCCTCCTCCTCCTTCTCATCCTCCTCCTCCTCCTTCTCTTCCTTTTCCTTCTCCTCTCCTTCTCCTCCTTCTCTTCCTCCTCCTCCTCCTTCTCATCCTCCTCTTCCTCCTTCTCATCATCCTCCTCCTCCTTCTCATCCTCCTCCTTCTCTTCCTTTTCCTTCTCCTCTCCTTCTCCTCCTTCTCTTCCTCCTCCTCCTCCTTTTCCTTCTCTCTCTCCTCATTTCCTTCTCTTCTCCTCTTCCTTCTTTTCCTTCTCCTCCTCCTCCTCCTTTTTCTCCTCCTTCTCTTCCTCTCCTCCTCCTCTTCTCCATCTTCCTTCTCCTTTTCCTCTTTTCCCCTCTTTCTTCTTGAGGAGAAAGAATCTGGATTATTATGTGAAATTTGCTGGCAACTCAATGAAGCAATTTCTACACACCGCGTAAACAGATCATCTTTGCAGTGACTCATCTTGGGCCACTAGATTCCAGTTCCCGCCTTGAAGTCCTCTCTGGCCCCTTCTAAGCAGAGGCTTGCCCCTGGAATTCCACCCCCTCCACCCCTGCTCCAGGCCTCCAGAGTGAGAACCAAATGCCGCCCAGGCAGACAGGTGCCCGGGCTATTCGGTGAAGCCTTGGGGAAAGGCTGCTTCTAGGACTCTCCCTGGAGGTTGAGAGAACTTCCTGTGGCCGGGACAGGGGCCTCTGCCTTGCAGCCCCTGCCCAAGGCTTGGTGACACTGCAGCTCTCCACACAGCTGATTTAGGGCGAAATGCCCCACTCCCCTCCAACCCCGGCTTGGGCTCCTGCTCTGTCTCTCCACAATCTCCCTGTGACTGTGGGAGGGACACCCCAAGGTCCGCGGGATCAGTACTTCCCAACGCCTGGCTCCCCTGTGTACTTCCTGTGGCCCTTCTGTGAGGAAAACAATCCATGATCACTTTATAAACGAACAGGTATCAAAACCTGTCCCTTCCCCCACGCCCCTGCCTCACACATTGAGATGTTTAAAAAGCCTCAAAGCTCTTCTTCAGCTGTTCCTTCGTTTTACCAGGGCAAGAGGGCTAGACTTGCTCAGGGGCGCCCCCTGGCGGTGCCTCGTCCCCCACCGGCCCCGCTGAGCTGGGGGAACCATGGTGGGGTCTCAACCTGTTCTGTCTCAGGAGTTACTCTCTGCAGAATGACTGAGCACCCTAAAGAGTTTTTGTTTCTATAGATCTATACTTACAACAGCAGAAATTAAACAGAATTTTAAAACGTTTATTAATTCCCTTAATGTAATTAGAAGCCCATGACACATTTGAATGTAAACACCATTCTAGGAAAACTGGTTGCATTCTCTCCAGCACTAAAAATATTTAGTGACAAGAGGGCTGTCATTTTACATTTCCGTACCTAACTTTAACAACCAGCTTCACAGACCACATGCTGGACCTTCCCGTCTCCCTCCAAGTTCAATCAGTCCCGACGTCACACATCGCGTAGTCTCTGGACAGCTGTTCTGTCACCTTATGAGAGAATGAGGGCAAAAAAGGCAATGACATCTGAGTGTTACTATTAAAATGAATTTTGAGCCAGGAACGGTGGCTCACACGTATAATCCCAGCACTTTGGGAGGCTGAAGTGGGTGGATTATCTGAGGTCAAGAGTTAGAGACCAACCTGACCAACATGGAGAAACCCTGTGTCTACTAAAAATTAGCTAGGCATGGTGGCATATGCCTGCAGTCCCAGCTACTCAGGAGGCTGAGGCAGGAGAATCCCTAGAACCTGGAAGGTGGAGGTTGCAGTGAGCCGAGGTGTAGTGTCAATACACTCCAGTCTGGTTAACAGAGTAAAACTTCATCTCAAAAAAAATTTTAAAAAAGCGACTTTTGGAGCCCCAGGGATCCCCTGACTGCGCTTTGAGAACTGCTGGTTGGTGTAAGGGTAAGATCACGGTCACTGTAGCTGGATAGACCTTTGGGGGTGCCAGAGTCTAGGGCAGGTCTGTGGAGGACATGGAGGAGGCAGGGTGCTCAGACCTCAGAGCTCATTTTGCAGTGGGAATTGGGGTCCCTTCCCCCATGCCCCTGCCTCACACATTGAGATGTTTAAAAAGCCTCAAAGCTCTTCTTCAGCTGTTCAGTGGCTAATGAATTCACTTATTGAATGATGCTTACCACATTCTAGAAGTTCTGGGGAAGTGCCTGGCCCCTGGGAATCATGGCCAGCTCCGTGGGGTGTTGGATCTGCTGTGGGCCTTCGGGGGCATTCCCGCTGCTCTCTGGATTTCTTCCTCTCACTTTCTCTGCCTGGGGCATTTTCAGCTTCTGGAGACTTTCAACCTGCGCCCTGCGTGTGATTCCCCCATCTGCAAAGACTCTGATTTGCTCTGTGGGAGCACTTCCTTCCCTGTAGGGGGCATTTCTAGGAGCTGATGGAGCTATCCCCATCTGTTCTGCAAGGGTGTCCCACTGTTCTGGGGGCGTGGTTGCACCCACTCTGTGAAGGCGCGCCAGTGCCCACTTGCTCTGTGAGGCAGAGTGCGCTGGATTCTCTGCAGGAGGAGCCCCTGGGCTCATGACCGGGAGATGGGGAGATGGGAGAGGCTCCTACCTGTTCTCTGGTAGGAGAGAAAGACTCAGACTCTCTGGAACTTCCCCCGCCTGCTCTGTTTGAATAGGGGAATGTTTTTGGTGGCATTGTGGCAGGGATGTGAGGGTGCTCCCGCAGCTGGGGGTGGCCCCACCCCTCGTGGCCATGCTCGGAGAGCGTGCTGCTCATCAGGATTAAGCTACCGGTCATGGGAAAAGGACTGATCCTTCCCTCAAGCCCACAGTGTCCCCGGGAGGCAGGAGGGTTGGTGTCTCAAGGGGAGTGTTGCTGCCCCTCACCCCACACCAAGCACAAGGCAAATGACCTTGCCCATCTGCAGACAGTGGGCCAGTCAAGGGCTTTTGCCTCTACTGACCCATTGAAGCCTTTTGTCAGATTCAAGGTCAACAGAAATAATACCTTTCCTTGTTTTATAAGGGAGGAAAGTGAGCTCAAAGAAAGACCTTGACTTGCTAGAACCTCACAGTTCACAGGTGACCATGACTAGACTTGAGTTTTATCTGGCAGGCAGTGGGGAGCCATTGAAGGTGTTTGAGCAGGGCAGTGACATAGCCAGCCTACTTTCTAGAAGATGACTCTGGGGGTAAGCAGTCACCCAAGGGAGACAGAAAGCAGGGCAGAGGTGGCACAGTGGGGGTGCAGCTCCCCTGCCTCTCTGGCTGCCCTGTCCTTGCTCTGGCTGTGCACCAGACCCAGGAGACCCACCAGTGTGGCCCTGAGTCATCTCTGGTCTCTGCAGGCTGTGTGGCCTGCGCATCCTGCAGCCCTACGCTGAGAGGATCCCTGTGGTGGCCATGGCCGGCATCACCATCAACTTCACCTCCCAGGTCTCCCTTACTGGGCCCGGTGTGCAGGTGCACTACAGCTTGTACAACCAGTCGGACCGTGAGTATGAGCAGCCCGGGGAATCCCTGCAGCGACTCCCTGCCTTTTGGCCATCCCTGGAACCACCAAGGGGGTTGTGGGCAGCTGTTTATGAGGCTGAAGGAGTGTGTCTGTGTGCGTATGTGTGTGCTTGCACAAATTTATGCAGCTTTGTGTGCCCACATGTGCAAGGCAGTCACATGGGTTTGCAGAAACACACACTTACACATATCCACGTATGTGTTGTGTGCATGTGTCTGGATGTGTATGTCTGCTTGGACTGTGTACACAGGTGCCCGGAACAGTATCTGTGGGTGCCTATCCATGCATGTGTGAGCGCACAGGAGGGTGCGTGTCTGTGTGACTTCAAGGCTATGCATGGCCTAATGGCCCCTCCCTGCCCCCATGTCCCTTGTGGTTTCGCAGCCTGCCCTGGAGAGTTCCTCTGCTCTGTGAATGGACTCTGTGTCCCTGCCTGTGATGGGGTCAAGGACTGCCCCAATGGCCTGGATGAGAGAAACTGCGGTGAGCAGCCCACGTGCCCATCCCTCCTGTCTCCTCACCTTCTCTGCTCTGAGCTGAGTGGAGACCCCACCCCTGAATGCAACTTCCATTATCAGCACCCAAGAAGTGGGGTGCTCTCACTGTGTTGGGGTGGTGAGATGAGGCAGAGCAGGAATGCGGCCTCCCCGAGACCACCCCTTGGGGCAGTGACAGGGACAAGTGGGGAGCCAGGTCTCCTGACTTCCAGCTCAGGGCCATCATTCCCAGCCCCTGTCCCAGCCAGCCTTCCAAGAAGGAACAGAATGGGTGAGGGAGATATCCCTCCTCCTCTGCCCTGTCAAAGTTCTAAGTATGTGGGGAGAAGGAGGTAAGAAGTCCATGGGAGCGTGGGGGATAATCCCGCCACGGTGCTGGGGAAGGCACCTCATATTTGGAAGCCAAACATCTGGCTTCAAGTTCTGGCTCAGCCAAGTGACCTCAGACGAGTCACTTTGTCTGTTTCCACCAATGAAATGGGGTATCTCACAGGGTTGCCGTGAAACTTTGGGTGTAAAGTAGCAGAGAGAGAGGCCGGGTGCAGTGGCTCATGCCTGTAATCCCAGCAATTTGGAGGCCGAGTCAAGTGGATCACCTGAGGTCAGGAGTTCAAGACCAGCCTGGCCAACATGGTGAAACTCGTCTACTAAAAACACAAAAATTAGCCGGACGTGGTAGCACACACCTGTAGTCCTAGCTACTCAGGAGGCTGAGGCAGGAGAAAGGCTTGAATCTGGGAGCTGGAGGTTGCAGTGAGCCAAGACTGCGCCACTGCACTCCAGCCTGGGCGACAAGAGTAAGACTGTCTAAAAAAGAAAACATAAATAAGTAAACAAAGATAAAAACAAAAATAAAGTAGCAGAGAAAGAGATTTGTGACCAGTAATGTGCGATACAGCACACCTTCCACAGGCATCGCCGGACCCCGCTGGCTCCTCTGGCTTCCTCCCACCTGTCCCCGCTCTGTCTCCACAGTTTGCAGAGCCACATTCCAGTGCCAAGAGGACAGCACGTGCATCTCACTGCCCAAGGTCTGTGACGGGCAGCCTGACTGTCTCAACAGCAGCGATGAAGAGCAGTGCCAGGAAGGTAGGGCAGGCCTGGCTGGGTGTCTGGAGGGACACCAAAGACAGTCTAGGCCTGCTATGTGCTTCAGCAAAGGGTCTGGCTTCTCATCATCTGAACACCCACCAACCCCTCTGTATGGACACATGTATGTCCATCCATCCATGCATCCATCTTCTGGTCTCCAATCACCCTGTCTGTCCATTGATTCATACAGCTACCCATTTATCCATGCATCTACTGGCCTGTGCAACCATCAATCTCCCTATCATCAAACCGTCAATCTACCCATTTATTGATTTGCCTATCTGCCTGTATGGCCACTGTTCCATCCACCCACCCATCTATCCATCTGCCCACCCGCCCATCCATCCATCTTCCCATCCACCTGTCCATCCATTCATCCATCCCTCCATCCACTCATCCATCCATCTGCCCATCCACCCATCCATCCACCCGTCCATTCATCCATCCCATTCATCCATCCCTCCATCCATTCATCCGTCCACCCGTCCATCCATTCATCCATCCATCCACCCATCCATCCATCCCTCCATCCACCCATCCATCCATCTTCCCATCTACCTACCCATCCATCCATCTTCCCATCCACCCGTCCATCCATTCATCCATCCCTCTATCCACCCATCCATCCACCCACTGATATCCCTAACCCTACTGGTCCTTATGTCCATTCATTTGTCCAACCTTCTAGCTGTTTCTCAGTCTCCCTAATGGACCACCACTCCACCCATTAGCTTGTCTGCCCAATCTTCTGTCTGGGTCTATTTATCAATCCATCCATCTACCCATCCAACTGACCAACCGACCAACACTTCCAGATTACCGAGCAATAGGCCAGGTGCAGTCAGGAAACAGGAATAAAACACCAGAGATGCAGCCCCTGCCTTCCAAGGCTTATCTGTTAGTAGGAGGATATGATGGGTGACTCTCCTGCAGTGTGGGAAGACTGGGGGGCAGGGAGGAGGTCCGACATGAAAAGCTTCCTAGAGAAAGTAGGTATTTGGTCCTTGATGAGAGCTAAAACTTAAATAAGCAGGTAGAAGGGAGAGAGGCAAAGACCAGGTGGTGGAGCGTAAAGTTCTTTGCAGTGAAGAGCAGGGAGGAAAAGGTGGGCAACCGGGCAGAGCCTGGGGGACTGCCAGGCTAGGTGGGGACCTGGTCTGAAAGTGGAGGCACAGTTCTGCCTTGAAGTTCCACACTGGAGGTGGGGGCATGATCAGGAGCTCCAGTCTGAGAGAGAGACACTGCCTTGCGCTCAACAGACCAGTCCGAGTGAGAGACTGGAGGGGATGGACATGACCTGCTTTTAGGATACCCTAAAGGAGACTCAGAAAAAGGCTCTCCAGTCCCCTCCTGGCTCTGTCGTTCCTGTACCCCACTTTGGAAAGCTCCCTTGGGGCTCAGAGACCCACCTGCTATGCCCTGTCCTCATCCCCTCTATCCCAGGGGTGCCCTGTGGGACATTCACCTTCCAGTGTGAGGACCGGAGCTGTGTGAAGAAGCCCAACCCACAGTGTGACGGACAGCCTGACTGTAGGGACGGCTCAGACGAGCAGCACTGTGGTGAGCCCTACCCGGCTGCCCAGGGCCCTGGAGCTTGGGAGGGAGGGGGCTGCCCAGAGCAGGTAGCTGGAGGGTAATCTCACTGTTGTCCCCTGGTCTCTCTCTATCCCATCCTCTGCCCCCTCACCTGGGTCCTGATGGTCTCTCCCACTCCCTGGTTCTCCTGTTCTCGGTCTCTCCAACTCTTTCCTTTGCCCTTCCTCTCCGTCTGCTTCTCATTGGCCTCTCCCCTTCCCCTCTTCCTCTGTCCACCCCACCACCTGCCCCCATCCCCAGACTGTGGCCTCCAGGGCCCCTCCAGCCGCATTGTTGGTGGGGCTGTGTCCTTCGAGGGTGAGTGGCCGTGGCAGGCCAGCCTCCAGGTTCGGGGTCGACACATCTGTGGGGGGGCCCTCATCGCTGACCGCTGGGTGATAACAGCTGCCCACTGCTTCCAGGAGGACAGGTGAGGGGGAGGGCACGGGGACCTAGGCTGTAAGACACAAGGGCAGGGAAGGACAGGCGGGAGGTGCACTGTGTCTGAGCTGTTTGCAGATAGAGGGAAGGGCGGTGGAGCCCCCAGACAGGCTGCTGCGACATGGGTTCTAGTCCTGGCACCACCAGGACCCACTGGGGCCCTGGACACGTTGTTCCACCTCTCTGCCATCTACTTTTGGTATCTTGCTTTAAGTTGGGTGAGTGATTCATTCATCCATTCATCTCACTCACTCAGCAATACTGGTTGTGCTCCTACTATGTGCCAGGGTCTGTGCTAGACGCTGGGGATGCAGTAAAGGACAAACTGCCCAATCTAGTCATAAGCTATGACACTCCCCCAGGTGTGACACAGGGTGGCAGGCGGGGCTGCGGAGCCCACAGGGGATGTCTCATCAGGCCCCATGGCCATCTTTCCCATGTACTTGGTGGGCTGAAACCTCCCCCAATCCACCCCCAGAGGGATCTCGGCCCGGACCCCACCCCCAGGCTCTGCACAGGGATCCGGCCCCCTTTTGTATCCTCTCCAGGGTGCAGGGTTCTCTGGCCACCCAGCCCTCTTTAGCCCCATCCCACGCTCCCCCCCACCCCCCCCCCCCCCCCGGCCTCCGGTAGAGATCCGAAGGCTGCCCGCCTGCCACCCAGGCAGCTGGCTGACTCAGGCCAATTCCTCCATGCTCGATTCACACCCCCTCCCCGCCAGGACCCACCAGCCTCAGGGAATTCAGAGCAGCCTGGGTCTGTAAAGCGCACAGGAATATGTGTCCGGGGCCAGTCACTGTGCTACATTTTTTACATACACGGTCTTATTAGATTCTCTCAAGAACATTCGAGTAGAAAATGCCATTCCCATTTCTCAGATGAGGCGGCAGAGGCTTCGAGAGGCACACACTTGTCTAGGGAGGGATGGAGCTGGGCCGACTAGGACCAAGGCTGAAGGCTGCTCCACCGGCTAGGCGGCCTCCAGGGAGGGAAGGGAGGGCGGGTGTGGAAGTCACCGTCCCAGGTGGGGAGCTGGCTATTCTGAGTGTCTCTGGCTGGGAAGAGGCAGCCCCGGAGCAAGGACCCCACCCCACCCCACCTCGCCCCAGCATGGCCTCCCCGGCGCTGTGGACCGTGTTCCTGGGCAAAGTGTGGCAGAACTCGCGCTGGCCTGGCGAGGTGTCCTTCAAGGTGAGCCGCCTGCTCCTGCACCCATATCACGAAGAAGACAGCCACGACTACGACGTGGCGCTGCTGCAGCTCGACCACCCGGTGGTGCGCTCGGCCGCCGTGCGTCCAGTCTGCCTGCCCGCGCGCTCCCACTTCTTCGAGCCCGGCCTGCACTGCTGGATCACCGGCTGGGGCGCCCTGCGCGAGGGAGGTGAGCAGCAGCGGGGGACTGGCTGCAGGAGGCGGAAGGGACCGTGGGGATGCGCCCCGCAAAATGGGGCCTGGAGAAGGGCGGGGCTGGGCGCCCTGGGGCTGCACCCACGGGCCCTCTAGTCCTGGGATCCAAATTGGGCTGAATTTTTACAGTAGAAAACCACCATTTAATGCGGCCCATAGCCCCCCTGCCCCTACCCTCCCAGCTCTTCCCTTCCCTCTGGAAGGGCGTTTCGTGTGGGGCAAAGGAGCAGGTCTGGAACCACTGGCCATGTGCAAGCTCCACCCCCTCCCCTGGGGCTGCAAGGGCGGAGGCTCTTCATTATTACCACTTTCCACACGAGGCCGGATTTTAAGAGAATGTGACTTCATACGATCCACCCAACAGCCCTAGGGGTGGATGCTGTGGGCCCATTTTATGGATGGAGAAACCAAGGCTCAGAGACATGTTGCTGTAAGTCACACAGACAGAGAGGACTGGAGCGGAGATGGGAACCCAGGACTGGGGGCCTCCAGAGCTCCCGCTCTTCCTGCTACTGCTCTCAGAAATGGGGTCTCTCCCCTTTCTACCTTCACTGGCCAGAGCTGGCCATCCCTGGAGGCCACCGCACAGTTCTGTGGACACAGGCCCAGCTGGCAAACCTGCAGCCATGCCCTGCAGCCTCTGTGCTGGTGACTTCTGTACAATGGCTTACAATCTGGAGGCAGGCAGGGTTGCAGAGATATTTTAAGGGGGAAACTGAGGCTCGGAGGAACAGTGACTTGCCCAGGGGGATGGCAGAATCATGGCAAAGCAAAGGTTGGTTCATTCACTATTCATCTACTCAGTCACTCAGTGGCATGTTTCTCAGCACCAACTATGTGCCAGGCATGGTGCTAGGGGCAGGGAACGTAAGGATGAAGAGAACATTCTAGGGGAGACAGACAGCGGTAAGAGCTGACATGCATGGGCAGGTGCAGGGCCTGTGGAGACACAGAGGAGGCTCCTGCCCAGGTAGGGTCAGGGGAAGCTTCCAGGGAGAGTTGTTTAAGCTGAGGCCTGGAAGATGAGGTGGCAGTGTCCTAAGGCGAGACATTCAGGTGAAGACAGGTGTCAGGACAGGAAGACCTGAGAACATCCGAAGCCTGCCAGAGGGGTGGTGGCGGCGGCAGGTGTGCCCGGGCAGCCAGAAGGGCAGTGTCAGGATCTTGGACCAGGAGCTCTCCCTCCCACCTGCACCTTAAAACCTTGTGCAGAGCCTCAAGGAACACCCCGCCTATCAGGGCTCCCTGGGGACTGGTGTGCAGCCCTCATGGAGAATTGCTGGGGTGGACTGCAGAGTTGGGGCACTGCAGAGTTCTAAGGAAGCCATGGGGGGTCAGGTATGGGCTTCAGCAACACCCCCAGGTTCTATAACAGGGCATTGGGGAGCAAGCCAGAACCCAGAGGCGCCTGAGCAGGCAGAGGTGGGGATAAGAAGCTAGAGGAAGACACTCATCCACATGGGCTTTGGTGGGGGGCTCTGCCACCATGATCCCCACAGAGAAAGAGCTAGAACAAAGTGACAGGGAGGCAGAGGGGCAGGAGCGACCCTAGCAGGGGAAAGGGTGGGCAGAGCAGGAGAGAGGCAGGCTCCTGAGATGCAAAGGGAATAGCCTTAGGGAAAGCAGAGAACAGGGGTTCCCGGCAAATGAGATCTCACCTCTGTCCTTGACCATGGACAGGCCCCACCAGCAACGCTCTGCAGAAAGCGGATGTGCAGCTGATCCCACAGGACCTGTGCAGCGAGGCCTATCGCTACCAGGTGACGCCACGCATGCTGTGTGCCGGCTACCGCAAGGGCAAGAAGGATGCCTGCCAGGTGAGTCCCCTGGGCGTGGGAGGGAGAGGACGCTGCTCACTTCACCAGGGTCTGGTCCTTGGCTCACATCGGCCTGCTGAAGCCTCCATCCTCCCAGCAAGGTGGTGAAAGCCGCCCCCACTTTACAGAGGAGGAGACTGAGGCTTGGGGGAGGGGTCGAGGAGCTTGCCCAAGGTTGCAGAGCCACAGACAGGAAGAGATATTGTGACAGGTAGGTGTTAGGCTCAGACGCGGTTCTGCTCCTCGCCCATCGCAAGGCACTAGGCCCACAGTGAGGTGGACACAAGGAAGAAGAAAGGGGTGTCAGCCACAGAGGGGAGGCGAAGGCAGAGGGGGGCGTGGGGACACAGCACAGGTCCAGGAGGGCCCAGACTGGCTGGAGGCTGCACAGGGCTGGCTGGGGCTCTCTCCGTTTAGTAGGTGAGGGGAAAGCAGAGCTTCAAGACTGAAAGCACCTCTCTGGCACCACCCAGCCAGTTCCCAACAGTCAGAACTCAATCCCCATGGCCCCTCACCTAGAAAGAGGGTGGCCTTACCCTGCTTCCGTCCTCTCTCTTTTCCCCCTTGCAGGGCGACTCGGGCGGTCCGCTGGTGTGCAAGGCACCCAGTGGGCGCTGGTTCCTGGCGGGGCTGGTCAGCTGGGGCCTGGGCTGCGGCCGGCCCAACTACTTCGGTGTCTACACCCGCATCACAGGGGTGATCGGCTGGATCCAGCAAGTGATGACCTGAGGAACTGCCCCCTGCAGAGTGGGGCCCACCTCTTGTACTCACGGAGCCCAGGGCAACTGCCAAGCAGTGGGACAAGTATTCTGGCGGCTGGCAGGTGGGCCCTGTAGTCGCAGGAGGTGGCATCTTGTCTCACCCCTGACGTCTGCTCCAGCAATGGCAGGAGGCGGAGGAGTGCTAGCAGCTGGAGGTCAAGACGTCCCCTGAGGACCCAGGCCCACACCCAGCCATCTGCCTCCCGATTCTCTCTCCTCTGTCCCCTTCCTCCACTGCTGCCTATTGCGGGGAGGTGACTCAGCAGCAAGAATGCTGGTTCCAGGTCCCCGGGAGTGTCTGAGACGCACCCCACCCTGTACAGAGGCTACTGGGCTGCCTTAGCTCCAGAGAGCAGGTGCCAGCTTTGGAAGCCCCCGGCCTAACTTGGGATCTGGGGATGAAAGGTGCCTCCATAGGAGGGGACCCTCAGAGCCCTGGAGACTGCCAGGTGGGCCAGCGCCACTGTAAGCCAAAGGGTGGGGAAGCCCTGATGCCAGGGTCCTTGCCCACCCCTGCCTGCCACCTGGGCCCTCACAGCCCAGACCCACACCGGGAGGTGAGCTCAGCTGCCCTTGGGAATAAAGCTGCCGACCCCAGCCCCACTGCTGGAGTTTGAATGGGGACCTGGGCACCAGCCTCACGCCTTTGATTGAAGCAGCCCCTGCTTCCTGCTCAGCCTGTTTGACAAGTGTCCAGAGGGCCAAGGTGGGCTCAGTGGCAGCAGGCGTGGCCACTGAGGGTGGGGCCTCCAGGGCAGCTGCCCAGGTCCCAGGAGAAACGCCTGGAAGGCAATTATTTGGGGACAGTTGGGTCAGGGTGAGGGATGTGAGGAGCGATGATCTTTTGGGACCTTAGGAGGAAACTGAGGCTCACAGAGGTGGTTAACACCCTCATGATGGCACTGCTGTGGCCCCTCCAGCTCAACACTCATTCCCTTTGGATTCTTTGAGTCACCGAGTAAAACCTCCGGCTCCAACCATGCGCCAGTACTGTGCTGGGACCACAGAGGTGTAGGACCTGACTCCTGACCCCAGGAGCAGTGAGGATAATAATCCAGTGGGAAGGGGCCAGCGGGGAGCATGGCCCGGGTAAGTCAAGGCGAACTGCTTGGAGGTCGTGAGACTTGAGCTGGGGCTCAGAGGTGGTCAAGCTGGGCACATCTGGGAAGGATATTCCAGGCAGGGGAAGAGCATGTGCAAAGGCACAGAGTCCTGGAAGGATGAGGCACACTGAGCAAGCTGAGCGAGTGTGTGTTAGAACAGAGCTAGAGGGGAGGGGCCGAAGGATTCAGAGGGGCAAACTGAGGTGGGATAACAGAACCTGGAGTTGAGCCAAGGATTTGACCCTGAAAGCACTGGGGAGCCATGGCGGGCTCTATGGTAGAGAAGTGACATGAGCGGACACACATTTTGGAACCACCCACTGGCATGAATGTGGAGGGAGTGGCGGGCAGGGAGGCCACTGCAGGACTCCAGGAAGGAGAGGATGGGCCCAGACTGAGCAATGCCATGGGATGGACTGAAGGGTGGTTTTGGACCCCTGGGGGCAGCGGAGATGGAGCCGGGGGCAAGCTGGAGGTGAGGGTGGGCAGTCAAGTATGGACAGCAACTCTGGAAGCCTAACAGAGAGGAAGGGAGACGGGTCCTCAGAGGGGCCCGAGACTGAGGAGGGGGTTTTCCAACATGGGCACTACTGCCCTATCTGTGGGTGAATGAGGCAGAAGGGGAAGCAGGGATGGGGAGCACCCACCTGGGTCCTGCCAGGAGGAGCCCAGGCAGCCGGGTGGGCAGGGCACATCTCGAGTGGGTGGGCACAATAAACACACGATCCCTTTGGTGACCTGGAATCACCCTGGGCCTACCCCAGTCTTCCTTGGAATCCTGGAGGGACGGAGGGTCATCTGCTCTCCTAACAAGCCTCCTGGTGACTCTTTTGCAAGGAGAGTTGGACCCCAAAAGTGAGGCCAGCTTTGGAGTGGCATGTACTCCAGGGAAGTGGCGAGGCCCTCCAGGCTGGACCTGGCAAGAGGGAGCCCCCACACCTTAGGGGCCTGATACCTGGCAGGATTTCCTCAAGCCACACCACGGAGAGACTCAGCAGGACTAGGGAGCTGCAGGAACTGTCCAGGGTAGGTGAAGGGCCTGGGGTCCAGGCTGGGGCCAGCAGACTCAGAGAAGGGAGAGGGTGGGGGGTTTATAGTTCCTGGGATTTAGGGCGCAGGGGTGGCAGCAATGGGGAGAGATGGCAGTGGCCCGGGTGTCAGAGTAGAAATTGGAGGGGTATCCTGAGAGGGTTAGGATGTGGCAGAGGCAGCCTGAGACTCTGCCTAGGGTTCTGTTTTCCTGGCTCCCAGCCAGGTAGAGCGGTGCTCTGGTATCCAGTGCCAGGGCAAAGGTATAGCCAGTTCCCCAAGCCCTCCCCGAAACACATGAGAAACTGACAACGGGGCAGTGTCCCTGGGCTTTCAGGAGAAAGTTGAGTTCCTTTGGGCCAGTCTACCACACCTTGAGTTTAGCCCCGTCCCCAAAAGTGGCCTGGAGAAAGAGAGGGCGACAGCCAGGCTGGGCTGTTCCTTCGGGCTTTATTACATGGTGGGGTCCAACACAGCTGAGAAGCAAGGGCCCATCCCGGGAAGTCAAACTCAGGAGGGGCCCCTTGCTCAGCCGTCACACCCACTCTCCCCTGGGCACTTCCTGAGTCCTCCACTGCCCCTGCCCAGCCCCTTCCGCTGCCTCTCCCCACCCTCCAGGCCAGGTGCTGGGCGGGCAATGCAAGTGGCTGGGGGTGGGATCACCTCGGTGAAGATTGAGCCAGCTACCCCTACTGTGACAGGCCAACTCCCCACACCCTGCATCCCCAATACCTGAATTTCCATTTGCAAATAGCATTCTGCCCGGGGGTTGGGCTGGGTCCTTTCCCTCCCGGGGAAGCTGAAGTGGGGGTGGCCCCTATATACTACCTGAGGGCCTTCGGAACCTGGCTCCTCCGTGCACCCTCACAACAACCCTGTGAGGTAGGTGGGGCGGGAGGAGTTACCCCCTGGACTAAGGCTCAAGGAGGCGCTGTGACTGGGCCAGGAGGGAGCACATCTGCCATGCAGCAGGGGGACCCGGGAGAGGGGGCGTGGGGGCTGAAGAGGCACAGCCAGGCAGTGTCACATGTCCGCCACGGGCAGTCGGCTCTGCCCAGGGGTCCTGGAGCCCACCTCAGGCCTTGAGAGGTCCCAGGGGGCCCCCACCCCGCCCCTGGAGGCAGGGGTAAGTCACAGCCCCATGAATGCAGACATAGGAGGCCAGGGAGAGGGCACTTCTTCCTTCTCAGGCCCGGGGCCCACCCCATGGTACAAAAATAAAGGATTTCAGATGGGAACCCCAAGTCCCTGGAGGTGATCTGGGGCCTCACATCCAGGTGCCTCTGGCTTGTAACAGCTAGAAAAAAAAGAGGGGAAAGGCAGGAGGAGGGGAGGGGTGGAGGTGGGGCCGGTAAGGAGGGGGTGATGTGGGGCCGGGGGCAGAGAGGAGATTGAAGGGCAGGGAGAGGGAGAGAGAGAGAGGCAGTTGAGTCACTCACAGGCTTCCTTCTGGAGGAGGGGGTGGGGCTGAGGCCCAGAGAAGGTGGATTCAGAACTGAGCCAGGGGTTGGGGGGGGGGGGGAGCAGGAAGGGTGCCCCATGCCTCATCTTGGGCTCGTGATGGCACCTACAGAGGCCAGATTATGCCAAGACTCTGAAGGGGCTGGGGTGGTGGGTGGCCAGGGCTGGGAGAGGCACTGATACTCCAGGCAAAAGGAGCCACAGAGAGCAGCTCTCTGTCCACATTTTAGAGGCAATTGTGACAGTGACTTGCCCAAGGTCACATAGCAGGCAAAGATTGGGGTGGGGGGCCTGTGGGCATGCGGCCAGGGCTTTTTCGGCCACTCTGCAATCCTTACGCCAGCTCTGGCTGATGCTTCATGGGCCAAGGGTATCCCAAAGTGGCCCGGTCTCCCCATCCCCACAGAAAGTGACACAGGAGCTCCTGGATGTGCAGGACTTAGCCAGGGCCTTGGGCTTCAGCAGTCCCGGCCTCCTCCCCAGTCTGGCTCAGGTGCTGACGGGCTGGTGGGAAAGCTCCCACTCCCTAACTTTCTTCTCCTCTTGGAGCCTCACCCCCAAGGCCAGATGAGAAACTTTGGTGGGTGGAGATAATCAGCCGAAAGCTCGGCTCAAGTCCAGGGATCAAGGGATGAGCACCCTCCTCACTCCACCCCTCCCGCCAGCACCGCCAAGCTACAAACCAGGGATGGCAGCTCTGGGGGCGGGCGAGGGGCCGAGGAGAAGCCCTCACGGCAAGCTCAGCCTCAGGTCTGAGAGGGTGCGGGCGGAAACCTGCAAGGAGGAGACGTGAGGAGGAGGCGGGAGGAGGGGAGGCAGGGCAGGGCCTGAGGCCGAGGCCTAGCCTCAGAGGTGCCCAGCAGGGTTGGTGGGCACAGAAGAGGTGCGGCTGTGCCCCTCCTCCCCAGGCTGGGAGGCAGGAGGTACCAGAAGGGGCGCAGGAGGCGGCAGGCAGGATGGTCTGGGATGCAGGGCCAGGGGGCCTGTGTGGAGGGCACGGGAGGCTGGGACCAGGGCAGCCCCGGGATGGAGGCGTGAGCAGGCAGAGAGAAAACCCGGACAGGGGCAGAGAGGGAAGAGGCAGGGTGCAGATGAGATCCAGGAGGAAGAAGAGGTGGATGAAGATGAGGCAGGACCTCCAGCAGGAAGCGGAGGAGGAGGCAGTGGTGGGAGGGAGAAAAGGTTAGCGGGATCCTGAGATGACTGGGCTGCAAAGAGAAAGTGAGAGAAGGGATGGTTATGCGGGTGAGGTGCCAGGCAAGTGGCTGAGCTAACCCTGGTGCCCCCCAGCAGCCCCCGGGCCCCCGGTTCTGCAGCTGGCTCCAGCAGGGGGTGGGCGGGAGGCTCCGGCTTTGCTTAGCAATCAAACTCCTGGGGCGTGGCTGCACCTTTCTCCTGTGCATCTGCCTCCACCTGCACCTGCTCCACCTCCACCTCCTCCACCTCCTCCTCCTGCTGCTGCTGCTCCTCCAGCGGCTCCTCCGTGCTCTGTGAACCAGCCGGCGGACCCAGGGAAGAAAGAGTGGAGACACTAACAGGGGGGCCAGGGCCTGCTGGCAATCCCCAAAGACCTCAGGCAAGGCAGAGGGACCTCAGGAGAGGGGAGGGCTCCAGCCACAGAAGCTGGAGGCATCTTCTCCAGTCCCCGGGGCAAGCAGCTGAGGATGGGGCGCTGTGGGCATGCTCAGGGGTCAGTCTGGCTGCTGTTCCATAGGGTGAGGCTGAAGCTGGGGTCGAAGCGGAACAGGGAGGGTGTGGGACTGGGGTATCCCTGAGAAGTGCCTGGGAAGGCCTTGTTTGGAAAGACTGATCCTGAGTAGAAATGTGGCCAAGCCCCAGGGCGGACGCCACCCAGATCTGGGATGCCAGCCAGTCTCTGACAACCCAGGTCCAGGGGCTCTGGCCCAGAGAGGCAAAATGAGCAAGCTCGCCCTGTACCCTTGCAGGGCAGCACCAGCTCTGGCGGTGGTGGGTGCGGGTGGGCAGGCAGGGTGCATCAGCAGGACAGGGAGGCAGACAGGAAGCCAGAGGTAAGCCTCCACTGCGTAGGGGCAGGCCCCAGGAGGAGTAGCCTCCCTTCTTCCCAGTCTGGTTCATGCCTGCTCTGTGGCTCTGCCGAAAGCCCTTGGGACTTCCCACAGCATGGGGTCCAGGGTGGCAGGATGCCCACTAAGCCCCCTCCCCACAGTGGGCGGATGCTGCCAGAGTGCTCTCGGGAGGCTGACTCAACAGGCCAGGCAGACACACAGGATAGGCCGCCACGAGGCTGCCCTCATCCTGCAGAGCAGCCAAGGAAAGGGGCAGGATTTATAGCAGTGGCTTCCCCATCCTGGCTCAGGCCAGCTGGGGACACGCACCCGTCCCTGGGGAATAAAGGGCATTTGGGATCCCAGAAGTTCCAGGCTCCAAGGACACCACAGAGAGTATGTGGTCCTTCCCTCTCACTTCACAGAGAATGTGGCAGAGGTGCAAGAGGACAAGCTTTGTCCTAGGTCACACAGGGTACCACCCTGTGCCCTGACTCCCTAGCCCATGCCACAGTGCCCGGTGGCCACTATGCGGCCCCCTTCACACGGCCTGAGTCCAGGCGGGCCGCACCCTCAGGATGCTCTCATCTCACTGCTCCCAGCCTGGGCCTGGGTAACGGCGGGTGGCATGGGATGGATGGCGGTGGCTGTGACCATGGGGAGAGAGGAGGAGGGGCGGGGAGGTGGAGGGAGACAGGAGCCTTCTGCAGACACGGGCTGAGGCGGGTGGGCTCACCTTGGTCTTACGGCCGGACTCAGAGCTCAGCCCATTTGGGGAGCTGTGGAGCTCCTTGGACACCACACACAGGAACTCGGCCTGGTCCTCGCTGCCGTAGCTGTAGGAGGAGCCAATGTTCACCAGCTACAGGGGTAGAGCATGGGGGGAAGACGCAAGTTGGTGTTGGGGGCCGTGGGGCAGGCCTCGGCCCCCATCAAGATACCGGCTCATGTCCTGATCTTGTGGCTTGTTGGGTCCACTCCTGGTTTTGCAGAGGGCACCTCTGGGCAGGAAAGTGGAGTGTTTCCCCTCGAGACCTGTGCCCCAGGACCAGCCTCTCCACCTGGCTTGGCTGGCCTGATCCCTGGTGGAGGGTGGCAACATTACTGCCATCCCCACCACCATCCCAGGCTAGCCTCAGAGCCAGGGGGCCCTTTTCGAAATGCAGACAGAGGCCTCTAAAGGATGGCTGTCCCCTGTTCCAGACGTGGCTGACGCAGCCCCAGGACAAGGTTGCAGGGTGGATTGGCAAGGTGGAGCCCCACAGACTATTCCCTTCACTCCTGGAAGCAGAGGTGGGACAGGTGGTCCACTCCTGAGACCAAAGGGCAAAGGACCAGTGGCCCCTGGCCTGCTCACTCAGCCTCTGACAGCCTGTGCAATTGACAAAGATGCTCAAAGCCGCCCTGCCTCTGTTCTGGGGTCCCTAGAATAACCACGCCCACAGAGCTCTTCTGGCTAACAAAGTTCTTGCAGGTGATGGGTCTCATTCAGCTCTCAGAAACGCTTCAGCAGGCAGAGAGGAAAATATCACCCCCTCCGGCAGAAGAGGCTTGGAGAGGTGGTGGCCTGCTGAAGGTCTCACAGCTGGGGAGGGGTGGAGCCGGGAGTGGCATCCGGGATCCCACGTCCTCTGTGAGTGCTGCAGACTTCAATACGGACTTCCAGTGATCTGTATGACGCTAGTGCCAACACAGACAGCCCCACCGAGGGCCAGGAACTCTACTGATGGCCCTTCTAATCTTCACAACGGTCCTACAGAGGAGGTGCCGTTAGCCCACTTCACAGATGAGGAAACTGAGGCTCACGGAGGAGATGCAACTTGTCCAAGGTGGCAGGCACGTCAGTGGCGAGGCCTAGAGGTGATCCAGGCCTCTGGCACTGCACTGGGCCCATTCCTCCATCCTCCCGGCCATCCTGGGGGCCTTCTGCCTTGTTCCAAGGAGCATGTGGGTGGGAGTGGTGGAAAGCTAGCCAAGCCCGTCTCCTTCTCTAAAAGCACATTTGACCTCGGGCTAACTTTCTGGCTCTGCTCCTCTGGAGACCTCAGAGGTGGGAGGTCCTACGCATAACTAGAAATAAAGTCCCTTGGGATAAAGACCTCACAGGAAGCCACTGCTTTGGGCTCCCTGGCCTATTGCAATGCTGGTGACTGGGCGTGTCCCCTTCGGAGACCCTGAAAACTGCATCAGGAGCTGTTCTGCTCACCTGACTGGGTCTCTTCCCCTTGCCCCTGGGCTGTCCCTCTGGGGCCAGAGACTTGCTCGTGCTACCAGATAGATCAGCAGCTGCTTGCTGTGAGGACTCCCACCAACAAGGACGCCCTGTGCTGCCCTGTGGCCACTCAGGCTCCTATCCTCCCTCTCTCCCGGTCAACCTGCCACCAAGCGTGGTCTCTCTCACCTTGTTCAGTTTGATTTAAGAAGACCTCCAGGGGTGGGGGGTACTGTGAAGGGGAACCCAAGGCTGGGGCTGCAGGAAGTGGGGGGGCCTGCTTGGTTGGAAGCTGGGAGGTGCCAGGGTGGCCCTGGTAGTACACCAGTGTCCCCAGTGTCCCCAGCGTACCTGCTCAAAACGCCAGCCATCAGACATGGTGGAGACCATCTGTGTGAGCTCCTCCTCCTGGCACTGCAGCACGCGGTACACGTGCTTGGGCGGGACCTGTGGGCAGAAGGGTCACATAGAGGGCACCTGTGGGAATTCCAGTTATTGCTGCCACCCCTGCAACATACCCAGAGAAGAAGAGGTGAGCTGGGGGAGGCAGCCAAGCTCTGGCTCAGCACCTGCTCCTCACCAGGCACTCGACAGGCACCATCTCACTTAATCCTTCCAAGAAGGACTTCCCACTGAGGCCCAGAGAGGCCCAGTTACTTGCCCAAGGTCACCTAGCTCAAGGGTGGAGGAGACAGAACCGGAACACAGGTAATTCCAGAAAGAACAAGGGTGGGGCTTGGGGAACATTCTGGGTCACCAATGGAGTCAGGCCCTCAAGGAGACTCAGAGCCTCCCCTGTTCAGTCCACTGGGGGTTGGAGACGGTTCCTCACTACCTGTCCCCAGCCCTCACACCTCCCGAGAGTAGGCGGAACATCTCCCTCCCTCCTCCTGCAGACTAACCAGGGAGGCCTGGGCTCCAAGCTCACCAATGCCAGCCCCAACAGCCTGCACTGTGCCCACCAGGTGACCATCTGATCCCACAAAATGCACAACTGGCTAACCCTGCATTGCCCTCTGCACCTCCACACTGACCCCCTCCTGCCAGTGAGGAAGGGATGGGTGTGCAGCTCCCACCCCTCTCTGTCCCATAAGAGGAAATCAAGGTCCAGAGAGGGCAAGCCCAGCCCGAGGTCACACAGCAAATGAGGCTGAGCAGGGACTGAAGCCCAGGGTCCGTCGCCCAGGCTGGGGCTATGCTGGGCAGCCTGGGAGTCCAACACTCACTCCTCTCCTTACAGGCCAGCTCGGCCTCCCCATGATAAACACGGGTCCTGTCTCTCCCAACCTCCTCCGCCTCCCCACGCCAGCGGCCCCTGCTCCCCACCTGGGTGACGGTGTAGTCCTTCTCTTCCATCCGGTCTTTGATGATGCGGATCAGCGGGCCGATGTTGTAGAACTCTGCTTCCTCCAGGACCCCTGGCAGACAGAACAGACCCATCACCCCTTCCGCCTCCACGCCCCATTCTCCTCTTGTTCCCACCACCCCCAAACCCACCTCCTGCTCCGCTCACCCGCCCTGAGGATGAGCTAAGTGTCTGTGAGTTCGGGGGTCAAGCGGGAGGGAGCGTTTCCTTCCTCCGATCCCATAATTCCTGTGGCAGGGGCTGAGACACCGCCACACAGCTCTGCTGTGCTGAGCAGTATGACCCGGGGCAGCTGCTGGGCCACAGTCTGGGGCTGCTTTAGGGCTATCAAGAGACAGCAGGCTCATTGGGGCTGATCCCCAGAATGTCACCATGAGCAGGGCCTTGCCTGACCCCTGGTCATGTGCTTCTATTTATGACGCACATTCTAAGTGCCAGGCGCATTGCATTTTTGAATTCTCAGAACTGGAAGGAGGTACTTTCATCCGTATTGAACAACTGGGAAAACTGAGGCTCCCAAAGAGAAGTGGCTCGTCCAAGATCACGCAGCCGGTAAGTGGCAGAGCGAACTCAAGCACCACAGACTCCAGAGACCATGTCTTCCCACTGCAAGTGCATACCCTGTGTCCACACTCCCCCCAATCACCGCACCTTACAGTTTACACTACCCTGCACAAGCTTATCACACGTCCCAGGGGTATGAGGAGAGAGCCGGCATTACCGTCCTCATTTTGCAGTTTAATTAATCTGGAAGATCAAGAAGTCAGCCCACCAGTCCAGCAATGAGCTTATAGCTGGTTTGACTCCCCGAGGCTCCCAGAAGGAAGGGGACCTTCAGACCCTTTCCTTGCCTGGCCTCTGGACTCCCTGGGGACAGGGCTCATTATGAGCTGAATGTTTGTATCCCCCACAAATCCACCTGCTGAAAACTGTGATGGGATTAGGACGGGAGGTGATGAGGTCATGAGGGTGGAGTCACCAGGGTGGGATCAGCCGTTCTCATAAGAAGCTGACTGGATGTGAGGGCGATCTGGCTGTGACATCTGTCATGCCACTGATCACCAGGGTTGATGTGGCTGATCTGGCTGGCTGGGGGCATGTCCCCTTTCTCCCTCACTGCTCCAGGTGTATCTGTCCCAAAGCTGCATGCTCCGTCAAAGAGGACGACCACCCTCGATAGAGGAGGGCCGCCGGTCTTTGGTCAAGAGTATGCGAGTAGCGGCGCTCACCTGCTAGAACCTCCGAACAAGCTCTCAAGAAGAGGCTGGGGGACTAGTTCCCTCTCTTTCTGCCATGTGAGGACACAATAAGAGGTCAGAAGTTTGCAACCTAGAAGAAGGTCGTCATCAGAACCTGGCGTGCCAGTGCCCTGATCTCGGACTTCTAGCTTCGGGGACCATGAGAAATAAATTTCGGATTTTCATAAGCCACCCAATCTGTGGTACTTCATGATTACAGCCTGAAATGCCTAAGATGGGGCTCACGTTTATGATCTGCCCTCTGTCCCCGGTGCCCACACAGGACTGAACACAGCCCAGGAGGCTGGGTGGGGACTGTTGCTGCCTGATTGTGAGAATGATCCCCAGGGCCCCGGGCGGAGCCCTGCAGGTGACACACAGCCAGCACCACATCCCACATCCTCTGGCCAGGCACTGAGGTCCATATGGACTCACAACAGCTGGGTGGGGTGGGTGCTATGGTTCCCCATTTCACAGATGAGGACATGGAGGCACAGATGGGTTAGGTAACTTTCTCAATGTCACACAGCTAGTAAGTATCCTCCCAGATCCCCTATCCCCTGAATGGACTCTAGCCCTGTGTGATCCCCCAGTACTCCATAGCTCTGTTTGATCCCCTAGCACCCAAGAGCCCTGTGCCATCCCCTAACCCCCAGTAGCCCCATGCCATCCCCCAGTCCCCAATAGCCCTGTGCAATCACCTAGCCCCTGATAGCCCCATGCCATCCCCCAGCCCCCGATACCCCTGTGCCATTCCCTAGCCCCCGATAGCCCTGTGCCATCCCCTAGCCCCGGACAGCCCCGTGCCACCCCCAGCCCCCAATAGCGCTGTGCCATCCCCTAGGCCCCGATAGCCCTGTGCCATCCCCTAGCCCCACATACCCCTGTGCCATTGCCCAGCCCCAAATATCCCTGTGCCATCCACTAGCCCGACAGCCCTGTGCCATCCCCTAGCCCCCACATACCCCTGTGCCATTGCCCAGCCCTGAATATCCCTGTGCCATCCACTAGCCCCTGACAGCCCTGTGCATTGCCCTAGCTCCCACATAGCCCTGTGCCATCCCCTAGCCCCCGACAGCCCTGTGCCATCCCCTAGCCCCTGATGTCCCTGTACCATCCTCTAGCCCCCACATAGCCCTGTGCCATCCCCCAGCCCCCAGTAGCCCTGTGCCATCCCCTAGCCCCCACATAGGCCTGTGCCATCCCCTAGCCCCTGATGTCACTGTGCCATACCCTGGCCCCTGATATCCCTGTGCCATCCCCTAACCCCCACATAGCCCTATCCCATCCCCCAGCCCCCAATATCCCTGTGCCATCCCCCAGACCCCAGTAGCCCTGCGCCATCCCCCCGCCCCCAATATCCCTGTGCCATCCCCTAGCCCCCACATAGCCCTGTGCCATGCCCTAGCCACCGACATCCCTGTGGAATACCCTAGCTCCTGATACCCCTGTGCCATCCCCTAGCTCCCACAAAGCCCCGTGCCATCCCCTGGCCCCCGATATCCCTGTGCCATCCCCTAGCCCCCACATAGCCCTGTGCTGTCCCCTAGCCCTGATAGCCCTGCGCTGTCCCCTAGCCCCCACACAGCTCTGTGCCATCCTCTAGCCCCCGATATCCCTGTGCCATCCCCTAGACCCCACATAGCCCCATGCCAACCCCTAGCCCCCACATAGCCCTGTGCCATCCCTTAGCCCCAAAATTCCTGTGCCATGCCCCAACCCCCACATAGCCCCGGGCCATCCCCTAGCCCCTGATATCCCTGTGCCATACCCTAGTCCCCACATAGCCCTGTGCCATGCCCTAGCCCCTGACAGCCCCATGCCATCACCTAGCCCCTGATATCCCCATGCCATCCCCTAGCCCGATATCCCTGTGCCATTCGCAAGCCCCCACATAGCCCTGTGCCATCCCCAGCCCGATATCCCTGTGCCATCCCCCAGCCCCCACATAACCCTGTGCCATCCCCTAGCCCCTGATATCCCTGTGCCATCCCCCAGCCCCCACATAGCCCTGTTCCATCCCCAGCCCCTGATATCCCTGTGCCATCCCCCAGCCCCCACATAACCCTGTGCCATCCCCTAGCCCCCGATATCCCTGTGCCATCCCCTAGCCCCCACATAGCCTTGTGCCATCCCCTAGACCCTGATATCCCTGTGCCATCCCCCAACCCCCACATAGCCCCATGCCATCACCAGCCCCTGATAGCCCTGTGCCATCCCCCAGATTCCACATAGGCCTGTGCCATCCCCTGGCCCCCGACATCCCTGTGCCATCCCCTACCCCCACATACCCCTGTGCCATCCCCTAGCCTTGATATCCCTGTGCCATCCTCTAGCCCGATAGCCCTGTGCCATACCCTAGGCTCCACATAGCCCGGAGCCATCCCCTAGCCCCTGATATCTCCATGCAATCCCCTAGCACCTGATAGCCCCGTGCCATCTCCTAGCCCCACATAGCCCCGTGCCATCCCCTAGCCCCCACATAGCCCCGTGCTATCCCCTAGCCCCCACATAGCCCTGTGCCATCCCCTAGATCCCACATAAACCCGTGCCATCCCCAGCCCCGGATATCCCTGTGCCATCTCCTAGCCCCTACATAGCCCCGTCATCCCCTAGCCCCTGATATCCCTCTGCCATCCCCTAACCCCCACATAGCCCCATGCCATCCCCTAGCCCCCGATATCCCAGTGCCATCCCCCAGCCCCCACATAGCCCTGTGCCACCCCCGGGCCCCGATATCCTCGTGCCATCCCCTAACCCCCAATATCCCTGTGTCATCCCCTAACCCCTACATAGCTCTGTGCCGTCCTCTAGACCCCGATATCCCTGCGCAATACCCTAGCCCGATAGCCCTGTGCCATCCCCTAGCTCCCACACAGCCCCGTGCCATCCCCTGGCCCCTGATATCCCTGTGCCATCCCCTGGCCCCTGATATCCCTGTGCCATCCCCTAGCCCCCACTTAGCTCTTGCTATCCCCTAGCCCCCAACAGACCCGTGCCATCCCCTAGGCCCCACATAGCCCCGTGCCATCCTCTAGTCCCCGATATCCCTCTACCATCCCCTAACCCCCACATAGCCCTGTGCTATCCCCTAGCCCCCGACATCCCTGTGCCACCCCCTGGCCCCCGATATCCCTGTGCCATCCCCTAGCCCCCACAGAGCTCTGTGCCGTCCCCTAGACCCCGATATCCCTGCGGATAGGGAATACGCTAGCTCCTGATAGCCCTGTGCCATACCCTAGCTCCCAAACAGCCCCGTGCCATCCTCTGGCCCCCGATATCCCTGTGCCATCCCCTGGCTCCTAATATCCCTGTGCCATCCCCTAGCCCCCACTTAGCTCTGTGCTATCCCCTAGCCCCCGACAGCCCCGTGCCATCCCCTAGGTCCCACATACCGTGTGCCATCCCCTAGCCCCCACATAGTCCCGTGCCATCCTCTAGTCCCCAATATCCCTCTGCCATCCCCTAGGCACCACAAAGCCCCATGCCATCCCCTAGCGCCTACATAGCCCCGTGCCATCCCCTAGCCCCTGATATCCCTGTGCCATCCCGTAGGGCCCACATAGCCCTGTGCCGTGCCCTAGCCCCCGATGTCCCTGTGCCATCCCCTAGACCCTGATATCCCTGTGCCATCCACTACCCCCCACATAGCCCCATGCCATCCCCTAGCCCCCACATAGGCCCATGCCATCCTCTAGTCCCCAATATCCCTCTGCCATCCCCTAGGCCCCACAAAGCCCTGTGCCATCCCCTACCCCCCACATAGCCCCATGCCATCCCCTAGTCCCCGACAGCCCTTTGCCATCCCCTAGCCCCCACACAGACCTATGCCATCCCCCAGCCCCCAAATAGCCCTGTGCCATCCCCCAGCCCCTGATGTCACTGTGCCATAACCTGGCCCCCGATGCCCCTGTGCCATCCTCTAGCCCTCATATAGCCCTGTGCCATCCCCTAGCCCCCACATAGCCCCGTGCCATCCTCTAGTCCCCAATATCCCTCTACCATTCCCTAACCCCCACATACCCCTGTGCCATCCCCCAGTCCCCGATAACCCTGTGCCATCCCTTAGCCCCCACATAGCCCCGTGCCAGCCCCAAGCGCCCAATATCCCTGTGCCATCCTCTAGCCCGATAGCCCTGTGCCATCCCCTAGCCCCTGATACCCCCGTGCCATCCCCCAGCCCTGATAGACCCATGCCATCCCCTAGCCCCCGATATCCCTCTGCCATCCCTTAACCCCCATATAGCCCTGGGCCATCCCCTAGCCCCCAATATCACTGTGCCATTCCCCAGCCCCCACATAGCCCTGTGCCATCCCCTGGCCCCGAATATCCCTGTGCCATCCCCTAACCCCCAATATCCCTGTGCCATCCCCTAGCCCCCACATAGCCCCGTGCCATCCCCTATCCCCCAATATCCCTCTGCCATCCCCTAGTCCGAATATCCCTCTGATATCCCCTCACCCCACATAGCCCCGTGCCATCCCCTAGCCCCACATGGCCCTGTGCCATCCTCTAGCCCCAAAATTCCTGACATCCCCTAACCCCCACATAGCCCTGTGCCATCCCCTCGCCCAATACTCCCATGCCATCACCTAGCCCCCAATATCCCCATCCCATCCCCTAGCCCGATAGCCCTGTGCCATCCCTTAGCCCCCACATAGCCCCGTGCCATCCCCTAGCCCCTGACATCCCCGTGCCATCCCCTTTGCCCTGATATCACCATGACATCCCCTAGCCCCTGATATCCCTGTGCCATCCCCTAGCCCCCACATAGCCCAGTGCCATCCCCTAGCCCCCGATATCCATGTCCCATCCCCTAGCCCCCACATAGCCCTGTGCCATCTCCTAGCCCCCGATATCCCTGTGCCATTTCCTATCCTGATAGTGCTGCGCCATTCCTTAGCCCCCACATAGCCCTGTGCCATCCCTTAGCCCCCGCATAGCCCTGCGCCATCCCTTAGCCCCCACATAGCCCTGCGCCATCCCCTAGCCCCCACATAGCCCTGCGCCATCCCTTAGCCCCCACATAGCCCTGTGCCATCCCCTAGCCCCCCCATAGCCCCGTGCCATTCCCTGGTCCCCAAAATCCCTGTGCCATCCCCTGGTCCCCACATAGCCCCATGCCATCCGCTGGCCCCCACATAGCCCAGTGACATCCCCTAGCCCACAAATTCTCATGCCATCCCCTAGCCCCCACATAGCCCCATGTCATCACCTAGCCCCCGATATCCCCATGCCATCCCCTAGTCTCCGATAGCCCTGTGCCATCCCCTAGCCCCCACACAGTGCTGTGCCAACCCCTAGCCCCTGATATCCCTGTGCCATCCCATAGCCCCGACATAGCCCTGTGTCATCCCCTAACCCCAATATCCCCGTGCCATCCCCTAGCCCCCACATAGCCCCGTGCCATCCCCTGGCCCCTGATATCCCCATGACATCCCCTAGCCCCCAATATCCCTGGGTAATCCCCTAGCTCCCATATAGCCCTGTGCCATCCCCTAGCCCCCACATATCCCTGTGCCATCCTCTAGGCCCTGATAGCCCCATGACATCCCCTAGCCCCCATTTAACCCTATGCCATCCCCTAACCCTCATATCCCTGTGCCATCCCCTAGCCCCCACATAGCCCCGTGCCATCCCCTGGCCCCTGATATCCCCATGACATCCCCTAGCCCCCAATATCCCTGGGTAATCCCCTAACTCCCACATAGCCCTGTGCCATCCCCTAGCCCCCACATATCCCTGTGCCATCCTCTATGCCCTGATAGCCCCGTGACATCCCCTAGCCCCCATATAGCCCTATGCCATCCCCTAACCCCCATATCCCTGTGCCATCCCCTAGCCCCCACATAGCCCCGTGCCATCCCCTAGTCCCCACATAGCCCTGTGCCATCCCCTAGCCCCCATATATCCCTGTGCCATCCCCTATGGCCTGATAGCCCTGCACCATCCCTTAGCCCCCACATAACCCCGTGCCATCCTCTAGCCTTCACATAGCCCCATGCCATCCCCTGGTCCCTGATATCCCTGTGTCATCCCCTGGCTCCCACATAGCCCTGTGCCATCCCCTGGCCCCCGATATCCCCGTACCATCCCCTAGCCCCCACATGGCCCCATGCCATCCCCTAGCCCCCACATAGCCCCGTGCCATCCCCTAGCCCTCGATATCCGTGTGCCATCCCCTAGCCCCCAATATCCCTGTGCCATCCCCTAGCCCCAATATCCCTGTACCATCTTTTAGCCCCTCATATCCCTGTGCCATCCCCTATCCCGATAGCCCTGCGCCATCCCCTAGCCCCCACAGAGCCCTTTGCTATCCCCTAGGCCCCTATAGCCCTGTCTGACCCTCTGGCCCCCAGACAGCCCTGTCTGATGGTGTGGGAATAGCAGGGCTTTGAGGAATCAGAGCCTGTAAACAGGTGCTGGCTGTGACGCAGCTGGGTGTTTACTTCCCTCCGGTGGGGACTGCTCCTGAGCCTAGGCCACGCCCATGGTATCTGTCCTCCCCTAGGGATGAACAGGGAAGCCTCGGGGCCCTGCAGGGCCTGGCACCTACAGTGGGCTCTGCTGTTGTGGCCCTGACCTACTAGAGCATTGCTGGGCCTCCAGACCATTGTGTCCCATAGGGCTCAAGGAGGGCGGACCACGGCCCAGAGCAGGAAGGCACGCACAGGTGCAAGTACTATCAGTTCATGGGACTCATGACTTCTCCCTCCACAAGCCAGATCACCACCCGCATTTAACAGATACCAGTGGAGACGCAGTGAGAAGTGACATGTGCAAGCTGGTCTGGCTGAATCAGCTGACCCAGAGCCACACCCTGTGTCCCAAAGAAGAGTTAACTTGGCACTGACTGTATGCCCCTGGCTGGAGCTCTGCTAACAGGTCGTTCTCCCAGACAGGGCTGCCTCACTGTTTGTGAGGCCCAGATATGGGTATATACAGGGCCTCAGCCCCCTAGGCCTGGGAATAACCAAAACCCCACTGGGAAGCAGACTCCCCCCTCCCCTGCCTCCACCCACAACCAGCACTCTGCTGCAGAGACTGCCAGACTTAGTGAATAGTCACCCGTTCCACCCACTTACAAGCCCTCACCAGGCAGAATTTGAGATATTGGATCAGCCAGAGAAAGAGCTCTTCCCATGCCTGTCAACATGGCATTCCCCTCACCCCAGCCTCTGGGTGTGATGGTCCACACCTGGCTTCCTGGGAGGCCAGAGAGAAAGGCGTCACAGCCCACAGCAGAGGCCATAGGGCCTCGCTGACTTCCTCTGTCCCCCACACATGTGTCTCTCCATCACCTCCCTGACAGTACCCAGCTTGGGCCTGTCTGCTTGGCAGAGCCCCAGGCTACGCGCCGGCAGATGCCCAGGAATCCGTCCCGTCCGGGTGGGAAGAGGCAGGAAACAACGAAGCAGGCAGATGTCCGACCTGGCTATCCAAATGGCTTGGGGCCTCCACAGAGGGCCCCGGCAGGCTGCAGAGGGACGGGCTAGGATGTGGGCCCCAGGCCAGTCCCCTGGACCAACTCACCCTCCTCAGCCATGTCCTTGTCCAGCACCAGCTTGCCATGACGGAGGAAGTTCAGGATGGGCCCGAAGTAGGTGGGGTCACGGTCAATGAGGTAGGCCCCGGTCTCATCCTATGGAGGTGAGGGATGCTCAGTGAGAGAAGAGTGAGGCCTCTCCCTGGCTAACCCCGCACATACACAGGAAGGGAGGGAGGGAGGGACGATCAAGGGAGAGCTCTTCCCTGGATGGAGCAGGCACGAAGGAGCAAAAAGGCACCGGGGTCAAATGGACATGGGTTCAAACCTTGCTTCTGCCTTTTCCTGAATGTGTGACCTTGGGCTAATGATCTGGCCTCTTTGAGCCTCACTCCTCTCCCCATAATTAGGGGTCACTGTGAGCGTCAAGCAAGAGGAGGTCTGAGTGGCACCTGGCCCAGCACCGGCCTGGCGAGTTTCCCTCTTCGAGGCTGTCCCCTGAAGCCAGCCCCACTGTTGCCCCAGGGTCCCTAATCTTTCAGGGGATGTTTACAAGTTTCGAAAGCAGCCACTATCTCACTGAACACTCTCGAGGGCAGGGAGGCAGGGTGGCAGGGTGGGCTTCCATGCAACTCTACTGAGATTGGAGACATTGAGAGGTGAGGTCAAGGATGGGGGACAGGAGACCTTAGAGGGCATCTGCAGACCAGCCCCTCGTATTACAGATGAGGAAGGAGGCTGAGTGTAGGGAAGGGTCCGACCCAAGGTCGTGAAGGCAGTGTGCAGCAGAGTCAGGGTGGGTGCTCAGAAATAGCGCCCACAGGGCCAGCGCTCCTCCTAGATTCTGCCCAGCTCAGATTCTGCCCCAGGACTCCTCCATCCAGCTCCCTGCACCCCTGCGCCACCCACATCCCAAAGGGCGGGAGAAGTAGCCTTGTCGACTCCTTCCCTAGAGCAGGAGTCCCCTCTGGGAGGGAAGAAAGGCCCCAGGTCTCTCCCTGCCCACAGCCCCGAAAGAGAAGGAGAGGCCTCGATCCAGGGCGGTTTGAGAGCTTACGACGGCTGCGGCCTGCGTTGTCCCGTTGCCAAGGCAATGGGCACATCCCTCACGCCAGACCCACCTTCCCCTCCCCTCCTGCCGGTTCTTCCCGCCTCCAGTTCCTCGGAAATGGACCCAGCCGGGTCCCCAGCCTGGCTGGCGGGCCAGGCCGGACAGCCCGGAGTCGGGCGAGCGGAGGACCCACCGCCGCCCCGCGCCCGCCGCCCACCCCGGGGGCCTCACCCGGTCCGACTGCAGCTCTTCCCCCTGGCACAGGCGGCTGAGGAAGGACTTCTGCTCCCGGCACAACGTCTGCCGGGTGGTCAGGAACACCGTGCCCCCCACATTGAGCCGCACCCACTTGCCCCAGCCGCCTGCGGCGCGGCCGCCCGCCCCCGCCGGCGGCGCTACCTCTCGGGCCTCCATCCTCATCGCCGGCCGCGGCGTCTGCATCCACCTCCCGGGCGCGGGGGGTGGGCGGGGACCGCGCGCGGGGCAGGCCGGGAGCTGTAGTCCGCGCCCCCTGGCTCAGCGTGGGCCGCGGAGAGGGTCCCGCCCCCGCGCTGCTTCCGCTCCCGACCCCGCCCTGCTTCGCCCTTCCCAGCAGGTCGGTACGCCGGGCTGGTGAAGAAATAAACTGCTGTGGTTGGGGAAGTTGGACTCCCAGCCTCTGGGAAAAGAATGAGGGCTTTCCCAAATCTGCAGTCCTCCCATTGGTCCGAGTCATCCAACAGCTGATAAGGGAAGAAACTTCTCCCTCCAGGAATCCCCATAGCATTGACCCGCATGTGTTTCGTCATATTTTTTCATTTGCCCTTTGTGTGTATAGGGGTGGGGGCGCGGATGGGTGGGAGTAGGTTCTTTCCCCTACCTGAGTTATTGGAGGACGACATAGCTGGACTTCAGGGTGGCTGAGCACCGTATGTCAGATGCTTTGCGTATGTGTGTTATTCATTTAAGCTCTCAGCAGCCCTGTGAGTCTGGTATTTTGGGCTATCCCCATTTTACAGATGAAGCCACGGAAGCGAAGTGACCGCCCTGCTCACGTAGCTGGTGAATGAGTACCTAGGTGGGTTCCAGGCGCAGTTCCACCACCAAGACCTCTTTCCTGCTCCTGCCCATGGGATGTCAGGGATCCTTGGGAGGGACTTCTAAGGAGGAGGAGAGCAGGCCCTGGATCCAAATCAGAAGAACTGTGTTTTTTTTTTTTTTTGAGAAGGAGTCTCGCTCTGTCACCAGGCCGGAGTGCAGTTGCTCCATCTAGGCTCACTGCGACCCCAGCTTCCTGGGTTCAAGCAATTCTCCCGTCTCAGCCTCCCGAGAACTTTCCATTCTGGCTTTTGGCCGTTCTCAGTTTTTCCGAGTCCTCCCCAGGAGGGAGGAGGGATTGGTTCCTCGCATGGCTTTCTGACTTATTTCCCAATTAACTTGGAGGGGGACTGTCATCCCGAGGACTTCAGGATATGGGGGAAGGGGGCAGTTCCTCATGTGGTCCCCGACCAGGGAGGGGAAAGGGCTGTCTCCTTAACTTCCTCTCCTTACTGGTTTCAGTCCTGGTCCTGCTTATGGGGGAGAGGCCTGGGGGTCCCCTCACTGATCCAATGTCACACAGAGGGCCCAAACATTGGGCAACCTGGCCCTGCGCTGGGAGAAGTTTCCCTGTTACCCCCCAGTGTCCTGCTTGCTACATAAAGCTTTTCTCCTTGGCAGAGGGTGGATCAAAGGTGCTCTGGAATCCTGCTCCTTGTAACTCACCGGGTGTGCTCCCGAGCAGTTTCCTCTCTTAGCTTGGCTTTCTCTCTTGCCAAATGGGACTTACAATCGTTGTGACCCCAGAGGATTGCTGTGAAGATCAGCTTATGACATGTCTGTAAACAGCTAGCATAGGCTGGTTGCTGTGGCTCACAACTGTAATCCCAGCACTTTGGGAAGCCAAGGTCACTTGATTCCCAGGAGTTCAAGACTAGCCTGGACAGCATAGCGAGACCCCCCCTCTTTTTTTTTTTTTTTTTTTTGAGCTAGAGTCTCACTCTCTCACCCAGGCTGATGTACAGTGGTGCTGTCTCAGCTCGCTGCAATCTCTGCCTTCTGGGTTCAAGCAATTCTCATGCCTCAGCCTCCCAAGTAGCTGGGATTATAGGCGTGCACCACCACGCCTGGCTAATTTTTGTATTTTTAGTAGAGATGGGGTTTCACTGTCTTGGCCAGGCTTGTCTCAAACTCCTGACCTCAAGTGATCCTCCTGCTTTGGCCTCCCAAAGTTCTGGGATTACAGGTGTGAGCCATCGTGCCTGGACCCCTATCGCTATTTTAAAAAAATAAAATAAAATGATAGAAAAGAAAACCTAGCACAGTCCCTGGCATGTATTATGGTGAAGACATGAAAGGGCGGATGAGATGGGTGTGAAGTTGCTCTGGACGATCAGCAGGACTGCTGGCACTTAGTGTGCCCTTGTCCACTGTCAGCTAAAGCAAAACTAGAGCAGGAGACACTCTTTCATCCACACGAGGAGGGCAGGCAGGGGAGTGACACAGTCAGATTTGCAATGTGGATCACCCTTAGGTTGCAGGGAGGGTGGTTTGAAGTACAGAGAGACCAGTTAGGAGACCACCTGCCTCTGGGTCAACAGTAGGGGAAGCCCAGGTCGGGCGCATTGTCTCACGCCTGTAATCCCAGCACTTTGGGAGGCTGAGGCCGGTGGATCACCTGAGGTCAGGAGTTTGAGACCAGCCTGGCCAACATGATGAAACTCCGTCTCTACTAAAAATGCAAAAAATTAGCCAGGCGTGGTGGTGCATTCCTATCATCCCAGCTACTTGGGAGGGCTGAGGCAGGAGAATTGCTTGAATCTGGGAGGCGGAGGCTGCAGTGAGCTGAGATCTCACCACTGCACTCCAGCCTGGACAACAAGAGAGAAACCCCATTTCCAAAAAAAAAAAAAAAAGAGTAGGGGGATCCCAAATCACGGTGATGTTAGCAGGACCAGACAGGAGTGGGTGGATTCAGTGGACACTTAGGAGGTGGACTTGAAGGACTCAGGTTCAAGGGGCCATAAGGGAGGGAGGAGGAGGAGTCATCAGGCTGACCACCCTGGGTCCCGGCTAGAAGCAAGTCAATGGCGGTTCTGTAAAGCAGAAGCCGTTGTGGGAAGCCAGCAGGGGGACGGGGAGGTTGGTTCAGGGGTGATGTATGTTTGCGGTTCCTGTGGGGAAAGTGACAATTGTCCCTCCAGGTGTGATACTCAGAAAAGCATCGTGAGCTGGAGAGAATGAGTGGAGTTTAGCCTTGTCCTGGGGAGTGGTGGAGACCTCCCCAAGAGGACACAAAAGGTTTCCGAGAGAGGCTGGGCGCAGTGGCTCATGTCCGTAATCCCAGCACTTTGGGAGGCCGAGGCGGGTGGATCACCTGAGGTCGGGAGTTTGAGACCAGCCTGACCAACATGGAGAAACCCTGTCTCTGCTAAAAATACAAAGTTAGCGGAGCAGGGTGGCGCATGCCTATAATCCTGGTTACTTGGGAGGCTGAGGCAGGAGAATCACTTGAACCTGGAAGGCAGAGAAAGGGGTCCAGGGAGGGTCTTGGGAGGTAGGCAGAGGGGAGGGGAGGGTGAGGGGGAAAGTGGAAAGAGTGAAGCTGGATGGGGAGGAATGAGAGCATTCCATAGGCCAGGTGGTGTGGGCCAGTCGCAATAAAACAAGGAGTTCACCTGAGGAGTAGAAGTTGAGAAGGTGTCAGATGTGGTGGCTCACTCCTGTAATCCCAGCACTTTGGGAGGCCAAGGTGGGAGGATCTCTTGAGCCTAGGAGTTCAAGGCCACCCTGGACAACATAGCAAGATCCCTGTGTCTACATAAAATTTAAAAGAATTAGATGTGAGTGGTGGCAGGTTCCTGTAGTCCTTGCTACTCGGGAGACTGAGGTGGGAGGATACCTTGAGCCCAGGAGATCCGGGCTGCAGTGAGCCATGGTCTCACCACCGCACTTCAGCCTGCGCCGCAGAGCAGAAACTATGTCTCAGAAGAAAAAAAAAGAGAGAAGTCAGGAAGGCGAGGAAAAGCCCCCATGTTTCCTGGGCCAGCCCCACCTAGGGCTGCCTCTCTCTACTGGGGAGTGGGGACGCCACAGCAACATTTGGACAGCACCAAGTTTCATTGTTGTCTTTGAGATGGAGACTCCCTCTGTCACCAGGCTGGAGTGCAGTTGTGTGATCTCTGCTCACTGCAACCTCCACCTCCGAGGTTCAAGCAGTTCTTCTGCCTCAGCCTCCTGAGTAGCTGGGACTACAGGCATGTGCCTCCACGTCCCTTTGTTTTTTTGTATTTTCAGTAGAGACAGGGTTTCACCATGTTAGCCAGGTAGTCTCGATCTCCTGACCTCGTGATCTGCCTGCCTTGGCCTCCCAAAATGCTGGGATTACAAGTGTGAGCCATCACACCTGGCCCTATTTTTATTTTTTATTGTCATTTTTTAATGGGGTCTCACTCTGTTGGCTAGGTTGGTCTTGAACTCCTGACTTCAGGCTATCATCCCACCTCAGCCTTCCAAAGTGCTGGGATTACAGACATGAGCCACCACACCTGGTCCATTAAATGCTTTTTAATATGGCTCTGGACCCCACTTGAAAGTGAAACAGAACAGAGATATGGTTAAGGGGTACAGGCCCCCAAACAAGGATGCTAGCCGAGGCTTCATGGCTTATCAGCTGGGTAACTTTTGGAAAGTCACTTAACTTCTCTGAACCTCAGTTTCCCCATCTCTAAATGAAGGACAATCATAGTGCTTACCTCAAGCTGTTCTTGTGAGGATTTAAAGAGCTAACAGGTGAAGGGTACTCCCCACGCACCCACCCCACCCCATATGAAGACCAGGAAACAGTGGCTTTGATGAAGTCAGTCCTCCCACCCTGTCTATCATTGTCTGGACCCAAGGTCAGTGCCTGATGCAAAGGCCACTCCTTAACATCCATTTCTCTTTGGTCAGGGGAGAACCAAGCCCACGAACTCCTGCTTCCTGGGATTGGAGGGAAAGGCAGGGAGAAAGGTGACCCAGATGATCCCAGTTACAAAGCAGGATGGCTGTCACTTCCTCCTGCCAACCCCTCCTGACCTAGAATGGCTCGGATTTTTTTTTTTTTTTTCTGCTCCAGATAGAGCTGAAAGAACACAAGATACATCCTGAAGTTCTCACCTGAGCACATCACTGAGTCCTGTTTTGAACCTTCTCAGCTTAGCAGCAGCCTGCCTCACTTCTGAGTGGCTTATTTCACAGCTGCTGTCAGTTTCATGACTAAGACGTCATTCATCCCTGCTGGGTTTTTTGGTTTCAGTTCTTCTCTTCCCCAAATTTAGCACGTCAGAACATTCTGATTAGCCTTTTCTGTTCTTTATGTCAAATCCAATCCTATCACTGCCTGGGGGCCAGTGCTGCTACTTATCCTTGGTGTGGGGGTATTTGGTTTTGAGCCTTCACCTTTGCAGGTCACTTGAGGGGAGAAACGAGCATATCCAATCAGAGAGAGTGTTTCCTGACCAGCTAGAGCTGTTCGTGTATAAGATCAGGCTTGCATAGGCCCATGCCCAGGGTTTGAATCTCTGCTCCGGGTTGGGACCTTGACTCATGATGGCCAGCGCTTATGACAGGCGTGGGAATGTCTG